TAGGGATTGAACTCAGGGCTTTTGTTTGATGATAGGGAAGTGCTGTACCACGGAGCTATTCACCCCAACTCCCTAAAAAGCTTTGAACATGAAAAATGCTTCAGCTGGAATCGAAAGCTAACAAATTCTGTGTGTGAGAATTTTGTAATGTCTGGAAGAGTTACTAAATATTGTCATTTTCCTGTTGGTGAGTTCTAGGATATAGATACATAATGTTTTGAAATTGGAAGTCAAAAGATTCTAATTTTTGCAGAAAATAATGTTGAGTTTCCATGAAGAACAGGAAGTGTTGCCAGAAACTTTCCTCGCCAACTTCCCTTCTCTGATCAAGATGGATATTCACAAAAAAGTAACTGACCCAAGTGTAGCCAAGAGTATGATGGCTTGCCTCCTGTCTTCACTGAAAGCTAATGGTGAGTACATATTTGTGGAGTTGGCATTGTTTGGGCAAGGGAATTTTAGAAAGGGAAAGAAGTGAATTGTTAATCTGTACTTTCTTACTGTTTCGTGTGTGTGTGTGTGTGTGTGTGTGTGTGTGTGTGTGTGTGTGTGAGAGAGAGAGAGAGAGAGAGAGAGAGAGAGAGATGGGGTCTTTCTCACTATGTTGACCTGCAATTCTTGGGCTGAGGCAGTCTTCCTGCCTCAGCCTACAGAGTACCTGAGACTATAGCCACTTGCTATTATTTTTAACTCATGACTTATTTTCTGAATTATTAGTGTGTAAGAATTCCATGTATATTACTCATTGAAAAATACTACTCTTCTTTTATTACTATGAACACTTATTTTGAGCCCCAATTAAAGGAGGAGTGAATCATAAGTAGTGGTTCTAAATTAATCTAAAGGAGAAAGTTCCTTTAGGAATTCAATTTTGGTAATACTAGGGATCAAACCCCTTGTGCATGTTAGGCATGTATTCCACCACAGAAATACACTCAACCCTTTCTTTAAAATTTTGCTATAGAGTCTTATGGTATTGTCTAGTTTTGGTCTTATATTTAGAATCCTTCTGCCTCAGGCTCCCTAGTGGGATTTCAGGTGTGCATCACCATGTTTGACTCAGTCTTGAGGTTTCTTATACCTTGTTCCCTAAAAGATTTTGGGACAAGTTTCACTCACTGTTGAACATTATTATTAAGAATTTTAGGGCTGGGGATGTGGCTCAAGTGGTAGCGCGCTCGCCTGGCATGCGTGCGGCCCGGGTTCGATCCTCAGCACCACATACCAACAAAGATGTTGTGTCCGCCGAGAACTAAAAAATAAATATTAAAAAAAAAAATTCTCTCTCTCTCTCTCTCTCTCTCTCTCTCTCTCTCTCTCTCTCTCTCTCTCTCTCTCTCTCTCTCTCTCTCTCTCCCTCTCCCTCTCTCTCTCCCTCCCTCCCTCCCTCCCTCCCTCCCTCCCTCCCTCCTCTCTCTCTTTAAAAAAAAAAAAAAGAATTTTAGGGCATGGGGCTGTGGCTTAGTGGTAGAGCACTTGCCTAGCATGTGCGAGGCACTGGGTTTGATCCTCAACACAACATAAAAATAAATAAAGATTTTTTTTAAAAAGAATTTTAAAAATTGTATGAAATTTAGGGACTGGTATAAACAAGCTTATTATTTGTAGTAAATGCATTAATGATTATTTCTAATTTATATCCATAATTTTCCTCATAAGTGACTTATTTATGTTTTGGAATTTCATTTTTAGGCTCCCGGGGGGCTTTCTGTGAAGTGAGACCAGATGATAAAAGAATTCTGGAATTTTACAGCAAGTTAGGCTGTTTTGAAATTGCAAAAATGGAAGGATTTCCAAAGGATGTGGTTATACTTGGTCGGAGCCTGTGACACTGTTGGCACCATGAACTGTCCAAAACTCTTAACTCCACCTTGTGGTTGGTGGTTGGGGTCTTCATACGGTTCTGCGTCTGGAGCAGCAACATATCAGTCCATTTGAATTGAAAACAAAGACAACTTTGTAAAACTCACCCATCACACTTTCAGACTCCTTACTGGTTGGAAGAAGATAGTATACTGCTGCAAATTCTGTATGAAACAGAGATGTGGGGCCCTTCTTCTGGGTCTTGTGTCTTGTGTTAGGTGCCAAGACACCTTAGGTGGGCTTATAGGGAGGGTCTTCAATAAATGTAGTCAGCACTATTTTTCTGTATCCAGTGTTGCATTTCTCACCTAAGAGTAATCAAAATCACTTCTGGCATCCTCTTTGGTTTATTGAATGAAATGTCTCATTCTTTGGAGACATGCAGAGTTGAGAAAGATTTTAGTGGGTTTCAGAGCCTTCAGGGTTGATTTTCCAGGTGGGATGGTTGTGGCATTAGTTTAAGATGAATAAATGATTTCAGTTTGGGGCAGTTTTTCTGCTTTTTGTAAAGCTATGGCCAATTGTCTCCTGTAGTAACCATTGGTTCAGGCATGTTGTACTTTGTAGGGACAAATGTGCAGTTGTTTGTGTAAAAGCCTAAAACTGACAAACTTGTAAATTTCTTTGTATATAAACTAGCTGTAACTTGACTATCCTTTTGTTTATTGTTTTTGGTAATTTTTGTTTTGTTTTTTTAAAATGAAAAGGTGTTTAGGATGGCACTTTGAATTAGCAAATCAATGGAAGGTGAATTTTCCTTCCCCCCACCCCATAATAAGTTTTAAAGTGCCTCCCACTTAGGGCTAGGCCATAACCTTTTTGGGTACGAGAGCCTAATTTCTTAGATCTGTTGCAAAATGCAGTCACTTCTGGAAATCAGCATGTGAAATGTTCGTTTTGACATCTGTCAAATAGGGTAAGAAGACTGAATGGTTTTTGCCCTTAGATCAGTTGTCCTTTAATCTCAAGACTTGTTACTACTGATTTAAATCAGTCTTTAATATTTGCATGATTTTATCTAATTTTTAAAAGAATGAGCACACTTTAACCAATGATTTATGGCTACCCCTGTTTTTCCTTTAATCACAGGTTCTGAAAGCTTCATGTATTTTAATTTAGAATTGGTGTTTTTAAGGGTTCTGTGCATGAGGCTGGCAGGTAATCTCTGCAGGACTCATTTTTTTTCATCATGGCTGGCTGGCTTCTCCATAGATTCATAACAGTATTTTTGTTATCTTGCTTCCCAGCAGTTTTGCATCAGCTATTTAACTTTCAGCTGAATCGGGGGAGAGGGAGGAATAAAGAAGGAAACTAGAAACCGATTTGCCTTGGTAGATCTCCACTAGTGTGGGCTTTGAGTGACTCTTAAAGCATTGTATGTAGTGGTATCTAGTGACTTCCAGTGGAGGCCCAAGTGTGTGCCCTGTGGGTGAGGAGGAAGGAAGTCTCTTTGTTCTTAGGGTAGAACTCTTTTAACTGATAAAATGTAATGTGTTGGCAAGCTGAAAACAAATTTGCATTTTTGAGGGCTGAGGTGAAGGTAAGATCCCTACTAAATGTTAAGACAGTTGAATGTTAGTCTTCTCTTTGACATCTCAAGCATTTTATCTGGAGGATTTTGGAGTTATCCTCATGGAATCAGAATTTTAAAACAAGTGCTTTTGGTTTTATCTTGGCTTTTAGTAATCCCTTTGGCTGGCCTCTGGTCACACTTGCAAACTGTGCAATAGATGTCCAGGTCTATACCTTCATCACTATAGGATCATAAAGTGCTATGCTATCTTCCATGGTTATGAATATTTATTAAGGTTGGAATGACATTTCATTGATTGTTTAGATCACAACTCAGTTCCTGTAGAAAACGAACTGTAAAACTATCTGAAGACCATGCAAGAGGCTAAATAAAACTTGAAGTGAATGTGTGTGGTGTCTACTGCGTGCACCTACTTCTGTCTGCCACTCCCCGCACCACCACCACCACCACCACACACTGAAATATAGTGCCTTGCCTTAGAGCAGGGAGGCATACCGAACTTCTCTGCACAGCTCTTCCAAGTTGGAGACTGGTTCTTAAAGGCAGCCCTCCCCTACTCCCATCTCCAGTAAAACTCTTCCTTCCAGATTTTCCTCAAGGCAAAAGTAGTAGACTAGTTTTTAGCAAAGCTTACCACAATTATAACCTGCTCATATTCTCTCAAGTAACGGGATAGAAATGCAGTTTGAGATAGAAAAAGGAATTGCCACTCAGGAATCTAGGCAGGAGGATCAAGTTCAAGGCTAACCTCAGCTAGAGATTAGTTCCGTGTAGGGCACTCCTTGAGTTGAATCCCAGTTACAGAAGAAGGGAAGGGGATCCAAACAAAGTACAAGTATGTACCTGGGTTGAGAATTAGAAGCCCTTAAAAAGTGCGGATCCCGTGCTGGGGTTGTGGCTCAGCGGTAGAGTGCTCGCCTAGCAACTGGAATAGATCCTCAGCATCACATAAATTAAGGGTATTGTGTCCAACTAAAAAAAAAATAAATAAATAGCGGATCCGCCAGGAGCAGCAGTTGAATCTCCCAGCTGAGCTGTTTAGTCCTCTGGTAGCAAGCACCCGCGTCCTGTCACCTAAAGTTTAAGGAAGATAGACCATCTGGATAGTGAATTGCAGCGTTTGGAAAGAATATGCAGAAGAGAAACAGGACGGAATGGTGGGCGGAAGTTCCTGGAGCTGAAACTTCCTTTACGCCCTTCCAGAGTATTTTCATAAGAAAGGTGCCGCTCTGAATCCCATCTCTGCAGGAGGGGAAATAGAAAGTTTTTCAACGAAAGTTTACTCTGGGTTGGAAGGGAGACAATATATGGGGCGATGAATCGGAGAGAATGGGCGCGCTCATGGCCGTGTAAATTAGCAAAAACGTTAACGTTAAGGCTAAATCTGTGCTTTTATGTGAAGTTACTTCCTCTGAAGTCCTGCCGGGTGCTAGCAGGAGCTGCAGTTTACAGAGCGAGGGGCAGGAGAAACCCTAGATCTGCAATCCGGGCGCCTTTCCTCTCCCTGAGARGAGTGTCTCCTTTAATAGGCGGGGCCGGAACTGGCCAAGGGTGCCACGCTCCTTACGTGCTGGGGGCGGAGCTCCGAGACGGCCCTTGCAGCATGGCCGCCGGCACTGCAGCCGCTTTAGTTTATTTGAGTCAAGAGAGCCGATCCCGGGCCGGGGGTGTCGGGGGTCTGCGAGTCCCGGCCCCGGTTACTATGGACAGTTTCTTTTTCGGTATTGGGGAAAGGTGCTGAGGGTGGCCCTGGGGGAGGAAGAGGTAGGGATGAAGAACAGGAATGTGGATGGTTGCACGATGTGGATGTGGGCGGAAGGGATTCTCACTATTCGCGGCGGACAGGTGGGCCCTAGCACGCTAAAGCCAAAGCGGTCGCCGAGACCCCTGCTCCAGACGTGCTGGGCAAGGCCCAGGGTTTAGTTACCGAGGTTTTCTGAGGGGACGTCTGGTAGGCGTGTTAAATGGCCAATTAGTCCATGACTATGCGTGATGGGTTAGCGAAACGCCACCGTACCACACCGCTTCTGCACACAACACTCAAACTTACCACGATATCTCTTTCAGGCTGTGAGCTCTCTGGCCACACGCGCTCCTTCACTTTCAAGGTAGAGGAAGAGGATGATGCAGAGCACGTGCTGGCGTTGACCATGGTGAGGGGAGGTAGAGGGGGCTGGCAACCAGTGGATCTACCTAATTCCCTTGCTACTCCTTTATTAGGAGTCATAGACTGCTCCCCTGGTTCCCTGATATAGGGACCTTTGAGACCAGGCAAGTTCTAGGGTAGGTGTCTCTACTTGTGGTATCAACCTGTCTTGGGGAGATCCTGAGGCCCTGTATATCCTTCCCAGCTCTGCCTCACCGAGGGGGCCAAGGACGAGTGTAATGTAGTGGAAGTTGTAGCCCGAAACCATGACCACCAGGAGATTGCAGTTCCTGTGGCCAACCTCAAGTTGTCTTGCCAGCCCATGGTGAGTTCCCCAGCCATGTCTTGGGTTTGGTGGGGTGGGATGGGGATTGAGGACATCAGTGCTCATCTCAAGATGAGATGGGCTAGGAGTGGTCCAGGCCTTCATCCTTGTCTTCCTCCCAGCTCAGTCTAGATGACTTCCAACTTCAACCACCTGTAACCTTCCGCCTGAAGTCGGGCTCTGGCCCTGTGCGAATCACTGGGCGGCACCAGATTGGTGAGAGGAGGGGAGGGCCCTCTCCTTTGCCTTCAATGGGCTCTGCATCCGCCCTTCCCCACACTCCAAATTCCTGCACCATTCAGCCTCATCTCCCAGTGTAGCGCAATCTGACCTGCATGCCTTCCCAAGCTGTGTCCCTTGGCATGATGTCCCCTCCATTCGCTGTCCCACTCAAGCCTACCTAATCCATGCAGCCTGTCCCATCTTTACCAGCTCAAGTGATGTGGACTTATTTAGTTTCTTCTCACCTAGTTTAGTGTCCGAGGCTTCTTCCACCTCGACCATGAGTTCTGGGAGGCCAGCCTAGCACCAGAGTGTATGAACAAGTGACGTGGTATGACAGGGGTCTATTTTTAACCTCCTCCTTATACAGCTTGTGTTTCTACCAGTTACTATAAGCAATGATGTTTCTGAGGAAGAGGAGAGTGAAGAAGAGGATAATGTAGAGGAGGAAACTGAATTGTGCCCCATCCTTCCTGCCAAAAAGCAGGGGGGTAGGCGCTAGCCTTTGGTGAGTAGGAAGGGAAGGCTGCCCAGAAGGTTCTGAGGGGGCAGGAGGAGCAAGTGAGAGCCTAGATGCTGACTGCTTATTTTTTGTTCTCAGGTCAGGTAACTACCTGCTGCATCACCATGCACCATGTTCGTGGACAAGTTTCAAGAATTTTAAATGTTTCTTCTCCATTGAAGAGGAGAGTTTGGGGCATGGGTTGGGTAGAAGGGTCTTCTGCTGGTGCTAAGGAGAGAGGCATTCTCCTTAGGGTCCTGGTGTTCTGGTCCTGTACCATGTCTGGGGCTTCCCTTTCCTATAGGCAGAAGGGGAATTTTGAACTTTTATGCTGACTCTGTGTCCCCACCTGCCTGTGAGGATTAAAGGTTAGTATCTGAATCTCAGAACTACACATTTGTAACACTTTTTACATTTTTACATAAAGATTGAAATAAAGTGGTGTGGGGTTTTTTGGAACTGCTCTGTGTGGCTTCTTCCCTTGCCAGTGACATTTCCCTAGGGACCACCAGGTGGCACTGTGGCAGCACAAAGGGTGGCCCTGGGCCTGGGGTGGGGAGCTATGTAGGATCCTGCTATCCTCAGAACCCTGAGCCAGGACCATGTCTAGGTCTCAACTGCCTTGCCAAGAGGGATCTCCCAACAGCCAGCCCATTCCCAGCCTCTGCAGGTGGGGGAGGGCCATCACAGGAGGTTATCAACATCCAAACAAGGGGTCTGGGCCTCTGTCAGCACTCAGGCTGATGGGAAGGGGGGCTGATAAACAGGCTTAAGCAGCCTGAGGAATGTGCATCCCTAGCCCCATGAGGGAACTCAGACTCAGAGAGGGCCTTTGAGGGTTGGGGTGGAGACTAGTCTTTGCTCCTCCTTCAGTCTTTCAGGCAGGTTGAGCAGGGCTGGCCCTTAGAAACCTGATTCCCAGGGCCAGATGGAGGGAACTAGCCAGATTGGGTGACAGGGAAACCAGAATCCGGGTGGCCTGGCATATGGGGACAGAAAAGGGCCTCTGGGAATCATCCTCCTAGGCTAAGGGTTCCTATCCCCTAGCATACCGCCTGGTGTAGGGATCTCTGGTGCCCGAACTCAGGTGGTTCTGGGCTTTGACTTTCTGTGCTAGGAGAGAAAGGGATGTACTTGTATGAGTGTGAAGATATATGTTACCAGCTCTGGGGTCAGCAGTTCAGCAGCTGTGTTGATGAGGGGGTGTCATTGCCCCACAAACAAACAAACAAAACATTACCTCTCCAGACAGCATGAGGCCAGACAAGCCGAGGATGGACAGAGAACAGGGCCTGAGGGGGGTCAGGCTTATTCCCACACCAGCTGCTGGGCTAGTGAGTAGGCATGGGGAAGGGTTCCTCAGATAAGTAAAACAAAGGTGCTGTTATTAGGGCAGGTGAGATTGACTTTGAGGAAAGTTCCCACAATACAGAAAAGCAGCCCCTCTTCACATTCTTAGAGAACACCACCACCACACACACACACACACACACATATCCCTGCTGTGTTAGGAGTTAGGGATCCTGATTTCACCCTCCCTGCCTCAGGTTAAGAATAAAGGAAGCTGTCTTATCTGTTGCTGTGATTAGGGTTTCAGCCTCCTTTTTCCACGGTGGATGACCTTATAAAGTGCTGCCACCCCAGTAGGCAGACTAGGGTCTGGTGAGAACTGGGAAAGTGGAACTGGTGCCCTCTGGTGGACAAGGTCGAAACTTTATGGCGTACCCACTCCCCAAGCTGCCTCTATAGGCTCTAGGTGTGCAGCGTGGTGCAGGCCCTATTAATCCTGTGGGCTGTCTGGGCAGCCGAATTTTAGGCTGAAGGCGAGAGAATAAATAACTAAGGCTTGCATGCATACATACATTCATTCATTCACTTGAAGTGCTTGTGCTAGAGTAGAGGAATTGGGCTGGGTGGCAACATTTCCTTCTTTCCCTTCCTCCTCTGGGCTCCAACCTCAAAGTCCTCATCGGGTGCTTGGTTGGAGACTGGCTGAGGGCAACACCAAGTCATTTCTTGGGGTGGAGGAAGCTTCCCAAGCTGACCTATCTACCCCCTGCTGTGATCCTGGTCCTGCTCCCCGCCCCTGCAAGAACAGCTCATCACCCATTGTATTTCTCCCATGTTTTGCTGGTAGGTCTGGGGTCGAGAATGGGGAAGGGCTCTTAGCACGTTCCTGCCCTCAGTAGGGGCCCAATCCACATCCTCTTAGTCGAGGAGTTTCCCCAGCCTGATCTGGCACTTCAAGGATGGTGCTGGGAATTGTTTTTTCTCCTGCTCCCCGCCTCTCGATTCCCTTTTTCCGTACCTGCATCACRCCAGAGCAGAGCGCTGGGGGTTAGGGGATGAAAATGTGAAAATGTACCTGTGTTTTCAGACGGCTGAAAGGCCAGCCCTGTATTTGGGGAGCGAAGGTGTGCCACTCCTAGAGGACAAGCTAAGCCTCCCAGGGGACTTGCAAAGCACAAGACACTGTCTCGGTGATTTGCATTTGAATCTTTGGCACTCCAGGCCGCCCACATGGCTGGTGTGAAGGGCCCTGGAGCCAGTCGCAGRGCAAGGGGTGCATTTGGGTACTGAAGAGGACGAAGAGAACGGGTTGTGGAGAGGAGTCATTCGTGTTGGCAAAGAGTGTGTTTGTGTTTTCAGGAGAGGGAGTGTGTGAGCGTGTGTGAGAGAGCATGCTCACGCTCGTGTGTGTGTTTTTGTTTGCAGAGTGTGGGGGCTGCGGGGAAAGGTGACCAGGCTGTCACTCAGCGATCAGGTTGACAGGCGCTCCCTCATCTGGACCCGGGAGCTCTGATTGCAGATTCGAGGAAACAAAATAGCAATTGTAATTACGGGGCTTTGATAAGATAAAGGAAGGAGGGAGCTGGCTGGGAGGCCTGCAAGGAAGGGAGGGAGAGAGCGGCCTGCTGGGGCCCAGTGGAACATTTGCATCTGTCAGTCAAAGGGTGTGCCCCAGCCTAACAGGGTGCCTGCTGCAGGAATGACCCTTCTGCCCCTGTCCCCAGAGTCACAAACTTTCTGGGAGATGAGAGGAATCACCATGAATTGGATGCAAGAGAGTTTCCAAATGTAAAGGAATTTGGTCCTTCGACAGGAGGTAGGAGAGGTTAGGAGTGGTACTAAAACCTAACTTGGGACTCTCTAGGACCCAGGATGCCCATCTCCTCTAGGGGAGAAGAAAGAAGATAGGTGAAGATCATTGAGGTTCCATCCAGCTTTCAGAACCTTCTGCAAGGTTGGGTACTGGTGTAGGTCAGCCATCAAGTTCTTGCCTAGCGTGCTCAAGGCCCCAGGTTCCATACCCAGCACCACAAAATCAAATATCCTTCTGGGGTCTCCAAAATCTGGGCATAATGCTGATCTGAGCCAGATGCTCTGCCTCCACTTCATGGAGGGCAGGTACTCAGAATGATTTTGGTTTTGACTCTAGGACAATGTACACACTACTAAGTGGGCTGGCTGCCATGACCCCAACCTGGATCCTGTTTGCTGCTTCCTGCTCTTTTCTCAGACTGAGTTCATAGTGGGAAGGAGGCATTTTCAGAAAATGCCATCCCTTGCTCCCTGTTTCTCCATTCATTCACTAATACATATGCATAAACACTTTTAAGGGCCTACTATGTACACAGAGTAGTATTAAGACTGATCAGACATCTCCCTTGCCTGCTCTGAGCAACACAGATAGGGAGGCAGACAAGAAGTCATGGTCCCTAGACCAAGCACAGTAAAAGAAAAGGGCCAACCTGGGTTGTGGGCCTTAGAGCCCCATCTGATTTATCCACCCCCTAATGTGCCCACTTCCTAGTGAGATTTAAAGGAGATAGTGCCTGCCAAGATCTTAGAAGATACAAGTGCTCAGTAAATGTTGGTGCTCATGATTATTTTCTATTGGTGGGGGTGAGGAGGCAAGTCTCCTTGGGAAGTTGCCTATGGGCTGAAGTCTAAATGCTCAGCCAGTTTCCTCATTATTCATTCATTCATGCAGTGAACACTAACTGCAGAACAACTCTGCCTAGCTCTGCCATGAGCTTTCTTAGCTAGTAAGACATGGTCCTTGCCTTCGGATTTGTGGGAACAAGAACTGAGTGAACAGACTCCTACATGGGAACAACAAGTGGGCTAGGGAAGCCTATTTCTCTGAGGAGGGATGAGGTATTAAAATGAACCTCTCTCTTTTCCATTCTATATATTGCTCAGTGTTTGCATGTATGACTGGGAATGGGGAAATGTGGGACACAGAAAAAAAAGGTTATAGGCAGAACCTGGCTGTGCTTGGACAAGGGCCCACCTGCCTCCCTCTAGCCTGATGGCCTCCTAGGACCACCCCAACCCCTCCAGCCCTACCCACAGGGTCATGGAGGGCCAGTGGGGAGGAGGCTGTGGATAAAGACAGCAGCTGGGTAGGAGATCAATGGCTCCACCTGCTCCTCAGAGCACCTCTGCCCACCCAGGCTGCTCCCACAGAAACAGAATGGTGGCTCAGGGTTTTCAGAAGTCCCAGGAGGGAAGCAATGAGGTGAGGAACTGGGAAAGGCTTAGACAAGTTCCTCTCTCTCTCTCTCTCTCTCTCTCTCTCTCTCTCTCTCACACACACACACACACACACACACACACACACACACACGACCCCTCAGTTGACACAAGACACCAGTCCTTGCCTAGCACACAAGTGTAAATACCTGCTAAATGAAATAATGGAACTTGAAGGGGGAAAGGGCTGGGCAGCCTTCATCTAAGTCCCTTTCCCCATGAAATGCTACTGAGAATAGTTCTTTGCCCCCGGTGCCTGTTGAGTTTTAGGTGGGGGGCAGTGGCTGTGAGTACTGCTGGGAACCTCTGGGATCCTCCTTCCATGTAGGTGTCTCCTGGTTCCTCTCAAGCTTCAGGCTGCTGGTGTGTGTGTGGGGGGGGTGATGGTGATAATGGGGTAGGGGAAGGCATTTCTCTCTCTAAGGCCTCTTGGAGATTGAGAAAAACTGGTGAGACTGGCTGTATACACAGCAGAAAGATGCAAGAGCCAGGCCCCCAGTCACAGAAACATGTTCTTTTACTAGAGATGGGCACACAACCATTCATTCCTCTATTAGCGGCCTCTTCTAAAGAGCAAGCCTGGTCGCTGCACACAGTAGGTGGCTTATTGACAAGACGTGAAGCAGGCTCGTGCGCACCGGGTAGTCCAGGAGGGCCAAGCCCAGGGCCCAGGAACCCCAACTAGGAGGCTGCCCTGGGCGCCCCCATCCCAGCGCATCCATGCCCCAGGAGAGCGCGAGGGGATAGTGGGAGGCGCCCACACTAGCCTCCCCCGCCCCTCTGGCGGGTCCCCAGACCCCTCCCCTAGTCCAGACCCCCAATCCCAGACCCGTGGGCTGCCCCGCCCCAGTCTGCCCCGCCCCCGCCCGGGGCTGCGACCCGGCCCCAGCTCCCAGCCGGGAGC